ATTCTATGGACTTGGCTGTAGCCCTGGGCTATAGAAGTGGTAAGTATTTTAGAATGCTCAGCTTTCATTTTAGTAAAGTTTTGTAAATACTACAAACCATTTTCATCGCTGTAGTCTTAGAACATTGCATGTTACCCTAACTGCTGACATGTACTTATAACTGTGGGCGAAATCAACAAATTCCTACAGTCTAGAAATGAATTTGTTACTATTACTTTTTACCAACCCAAATAATTAGCTGCTGGAAGATAAGTACACACCTATTTACAAGATGTGTTTCACATTTTTATAGCAAACTATACACTGCTCTTATAGTTGCCTTTTTCTGTTCCTTAGAACAACCTTGTATTCTGAATTCTCCTTCAGTTTCAAAATTTAACAACCAAGAACTGAAAATTCAGTGACTTGGGCAATTACTAAGTCAGTGAAACTAAATGTTAAGTGTATTTAAGTATCTACTTAGAAATAACTTTATTTTAGGAAAAAGTTGGAGATGTTAAGTTGAATTTGATAATTCTTTTAAAAAATTTTAAATCAGCATGCTGTGGTCTTGATCACCTATTTGTTCTAGTTCAACAGGTTATTGAGTCACATCTATTGAAGCTGCTTCAAAACATCAAGGAGTAGGCAGAGTCGTCAGAAAGTATTGTCTGCCCTTCCGTTTACTTTTTGGCTCTTATAAATGATAGTTTTGTTTACTTATAAATTTTTACCTCAGTTGCAATATTTACTGATTTCTACTAAGTTTTAATAAATATTCTTCTGAGTAATTCACTGGTTTATAATAAAATTAATGTTGATGCTCTTTTATAAATGTGTTTTATGGCATATTTAAAATTATAAATTAATGTTTTGTGGCATGTAAATTTTTATGGTACAGATAGTTATCTGTCTTTGTATCAAGTGCTGTAATTTAACATTTTCAGAAATTATTCTACCCTATTCGTCTGTACTCTTGTATTAACTCATTGACTTTATATAGGGTTTGCTATAAATCCATGGGGGGAAAAATGTTATTATTGAATTCAAAGTGCACAGTGTGATTGTTTACAAGATGTTATAAGTAAATAAAGTACATTTTCTGTTAGTTTGCATGCTAGTTTTTTTTTTATTATATAAGGTTATTAAGGGATTCCTTTAGGATTTTTAGTCTAACCCGTCTGTCCTTCCAGGGCACTCCATTAGGTCAAACAATATAATTAAAATAAATTGAATATAAGTCAGTCAACAAAGATTTATTGATTGTCATTTCTAGAAGGATATTTAGAATATTTCTTCTTGATCGCAAAAAGGCTGATCTTGTTAAGTTTGATTATTTACACACACACACACGGCATTTTAATCATATAGGTAGGCCTCAAGTTTTCTCTGCAAAACTAGAGCCTTAGATTACTGAGAAATTAATTAGGCTAAAAAATTACCCTCTCTTCAGAAACTTTCATAAGGGGTCTCAGACTTTTAACAGCCTCGATTATTTGCTCCCCTATTCCAAGGCCAGGGGACTAAGCCCAAGAAATCTTTCCACCAGATTTCACCTACAGTATCACTGAATTGGGGTAAATTCCTCCCTTCCTGAGGTCTGCAAAATTTGCTAAGATCCTTGGCTTTCCAGGAAGTGACCTTCCTCACCACCAGTCAGATCAGGACCTAGAGGCTGGCACCAGGCCAGTCTTGGGGGGAGGGTTTTGTTGGCACTAACTCCACAGATAAAGTGAACCCTTTGTTCCTTAGTATGGACTTCTTATACCTGACTAAGAACATTGTTCTCAAATATAGCCCTCTGGGTATGGCTTTCTTTGAACAATCTATTTGTCTAATTATATCTTGGTAAAAAGGACAGATTCTTATTGAATCTATGCTAATAAGTATTTTGTCATGAAAAGTGAGGAGAGTCACTGAATTCTGAGGCCATCAGAAAGAATCAGACACCATTTTTAAAAATTTCATTTTAGTTTTCTGATGCATAGCCTATTAAATTGAAGGTTAGAGATAGCTTACCAAGAGAGAAAAAGGGGATCTGTATGACCATTATGACCGAACAACTGGAACTACAGGAATGACCAGTCAACCAGTCGCTATGATGCACACTGACCACCGGGGAGCAGATGCTCAATGCAGGAGCTGCCCCCTGGTGGTCAGTGCACTCCCACAGCCAACCTCCCCCGGCCCCTCCCCCCAGCCAGCCCTACCCCAATTTGCGTTTCCCACCCTGATGGAGGGTGTGCACCAGGCCTCTAGTAGTATAATAAATACGTAAACCAGTAACATAGTTGTTTATCATTATCAAGTGGTACATAATTGTATAAACTATATTTTTATATGACTGGCGGTGCGACAGGTTTATTTACACCAGCATGACCACAACAGGTGAGGAATGCTTTGCACTGCGATGTCCTGACATTACCGCGGCTGCACTGTGAGGTCACTGGGCAGTAGGAATTTTTCAGCTCCATTGTAATCTTATAGGACCACCATTGTATATGTGGTCCCACGTTAACTGAAATGTTTTATCCCACATTCAAGGTAAAGACATATAAATACTATTTTTTAAAACCAAAATTATTACTCCAGAAAGAGATAAACTCACACAATGCAGAGAAGTTATACTGGTGAGACCTGGAATTTCTACTATCCATGCAGATTACGCGAATGGTAAAGAATAACCTTTACTGCCACTAGTTAAATGCTCTAAGGCAGGGGTTCTCAACCTGTGGGTCGAGACCCCTTTGGCGGTCGAACAACCTTTTCACGGGGTCGCCTGAGACTATCCTTCATATCAGATATTTACATTACGATTCATAACAGTAGCAACATTACAGTTATGAGGTAGCAACGAAAACAATTTTATGGTTGGGTCACAACATAAGGAACTGTATTTAAAGGGCCAGAAGGTTGAGAACCACTGCCTAAGGCCAATTTATCATTTAACAGCAAGAAAACAAAAATTGCAGCTTTGCATTATTGTAAAATTTGTTAGTAAAGATTTTGTGGTCTCCTTTATTTTCCCTTAAATCATCTTGTATATAAAAATTGTATATAAAATATTTATATAGCTTCTTTCAGACTGAGGTGTGATAAGCCAAGAGAAATAAAGTTCTCTTCCTTCGTGTCCTCTTCAATTTGTTATCTACACCCAAGTTTTATCTTTCCTTTACTCTTTCATATTCTGGAACAAATTGGCACTAATTTAGGTAAAAACTATTGCCTTTTTTCTTGAAAAAGAACATCCACAGTTGCATTTCTCTGCCATTACTGATTCTAGTACAGTTTCAATCAGCTGTGTTAATTACAACTTTTAACCAAATTAGTAGATAATTGAGAATTATTTGTCATATACAAGCATTTTAGCAGGGTAGGAAAGCTCATGAATATACAACTTTCTACAGCTACATGCATGCCTTTTATACTTTCTTAAAGTGGTAAAAATGAACACATTTATTAATGTCCCAAAGATATAGCCAATCTATAGCGAATAAAAATAAGAAGCAAACGTATATAAACCTAAAAGTGCTTAATAACCAATGTTTCAATATTCCATATTACTTGGAAATTACTTATAGGTATCCAATAATTATGCATTAATAACAATTTATTAATCCAAATTTTAAGTTGCTTAAGGATCTTGAAAATTATGTTTAAGCTAACACAATTACTGGTGATATAAGTTTGTCAAATTTATGACTCAATTTGGTTGGATACAAGTTTATACTTTTATAATCTTAAACATTAGTTAGTGGTATTTTATCTTATTTGATCAGTAAACTAATATAAAAAGGTTAGGAAATTCAGATTAACTAGTCTTTTCCTAAGATTCAAACCCAAACCTTATTTTTTAAAGTTAAATCTATGCTTGTATCATACTCCATATTGATAAACTCAAGGTAAAGACATATAAATATTATTTCTTGAAATCAAAATTATTAAACCAAGATAATTTGTTCAAAGACTCACCTTCATTATATAAACTTTGATTCTTAAAATGTTTCTGAGCTAACAAGTTCAATAAGAATAGTTTTTTTTTCTTAAATGTCTTGCACACTCAAAATATTAGAGGTTCAGTTTCTTTATTTTCTGGGGTTTGTGGGAACATTTGAATCATATAAACTATTGTTCTATAAGCCAATCAGAGCAATGCCAAAGAGGTTTCTTGTTATTCCTTTGCTCTAGGATTTCCTTTGGGGGCCAGGTGTTGACTGGGCAGAACTCATGCCAGTTCCTAGAGTTCACCCACAGAGCCAGGTAACCCACCCTCATAATGCATGTCTGTTAGGGAAACTTCCCTCTTTCCTCTTCCCTGGCTGTCCTGGTGTTTGCCCTGCTACCAAGGACACTGTCAACCAGAACGAGGTCAATTGTGTGTGTCCCTGTCTCAGGTCCCTCAGCGTCAGGCTGTCCAATTTGAAGGAAGAGCCCACTCACCCAACTGTGCCAGGGTTTGCCCTCACTGCCTTTCCCAAGAGTAAACCAGTCTCTTAGAAATTGTAGACTTTTCTTTAGAAGATGATGTTGCCTTGCCTATTTGATGAGACGCTAGAGGGCCCTCCCAAGAGAGCCTTGTGTACTTGGTCAGTTTGCACCGCCTCCTGCTTGGGAAGAAATTAAATGTATCAACCACTGTGGTCTTAGGAGAAAGCCTAGTGCAAATGTCAAGTTTTGTGCAAATGCTGGAGCCATGGCCACTGTGCCACATGGTCTTGTCAGGGAGAGAAGACAGTACAAATTACGTAACCACAAGTAATATGAGGCAATAGATAACCAAGTGAATGTCAATGAATAGATAACAAAAGTAAATAACAAAGGAATGGATTTGAGGAAGAAAATTATTTTTGTGGCTTCAGGAAGCCAAGGTCAGAATCCCTAATAACTTGGCATTTAAAAAAATTATCACTTTTCTGAATATAAAAGTAATGTATACTCTTGTGCCTGTTAGGGTGTTTTCAGCTATAAAATAAAATAAAATCTACTTATTAACAAGTAAGTTAATGTATTTGCCCATCAAAGAGGATATCCAGGTGCTTTATTTCCTAGTCTCCCCTTTACCCAGCCCGCTTCCAGCCTCCTTTGCAGTTAAAGTGCAAGTGTGTGATGGAGGTTTAACCGATCAGATGCTCCTAGCCCAGCTTTTTGAATTGTCAGCTACTGACCCACAGCAGTGAGAACGGTAGAGTCCACAGCAGTGACAGCGGCAACCACAGCAATATTCAGTTTCCGGGAGCAGTAGATGCTGTACCACATGTGATGGCCACATCTCACTGGCAAGATCAGGGCTGTGGCCCCGCAGCTGCCTGGCCTTCCTCGTTCCTGGCTTTCATCCAGCCTGCTTCTCAAGGCTCCTGGTATTCCTGAACCACAGGCCAGCTTTTCAGTCCATTCCTTTTCTGTTTAGCAGAGTTGGTCTCTGAAGTTAAGAATTTTGGTAGTTACAAAGAAAGGAGGACAGCCCTCTTCCAGACTCTGCCACTTTGCCACTTGAGCACCAGGAGTCCATGAAAACAGGTCCTGCTTCCCTTCTCCTCCCCTCTCCTCCCCTCCCTTTATCTTTCTTCCCCTCCCTGCTCTCTCCAGGGCTCAGGTATGATTCCAGAGGACCAGCCCGGCTGCCAGCATCAGAGACATTTACCACACACTCTCTCCACCCCTCACGGCCTCAACCTTCTCCACAAACCTTCCCTGCAAAGAGCCTTCACCCCACACAACTCAGCTCCTACAAATAGACGAGTCTTACTTGTCTGGCCAGCACACCACTTTGTGCCTACGTTAGAACCCCCTGCATAGTGACAAATTAGTTACTTGATTGTTTATAGCTGGACCAAATTACTCCTGTTGAGCCTGACACCTGCTTCCTAAAGGCCTGAACCTGCCAATCTCCTTGTCCCCTCCCTGTCTCTCTCCCACCAGCATTCACTGAGCACTTCCTAAGGGTGAGACAAAATGAGAGAGCTCAGCTCAGCCCTCCCTCAGAGAGGTCTCACTTCTCCCCGGATTCTCTGTAACTCACAGCAAGTCTGTGTAGTCAAGGCTGCTCCTTCTCTTGTAGGTGACCCAAGTCTCTTCTCTTTCTGGTGGGAAGAAAATGCCATCAGGTCTGGATCATAAAAAGGTGACATTTCTATTTTTTTTGAAAAAGATAAAAATGAAAAAAATTTTAAATAAAAAGGAGCAGTCCTGTCCCAGGAGCCACCCAAAAATATCTTCCCTGTGGCCAGCTTCAAGGCACCTAAAGTACCAAGAGGGTTTCCCAGACTCCGACTCCTGGGCAGCTTTAGGTGGAGGGCAGGCGGAGGTAAATTCCAAGTGACCGAGCTGGTGGGCGTAAACATGGCTGCCTATGTCATCCTTAGACCTTCAAAGTTTCCAGAGACCAAAGACTGTACACAAGAATTGCCCTGTTACATTCACTGACAATCATTTTCAATAATCAACTTTTCATAAATGTCAATACACTTATATTGATATATACATATAACACACATATATACATATATAAAATGGTTTCATTATAAAACATTTAAATAAAATTATTGATATACATAAAAATAGTCTCCAATTAAAGTAAATATATAGTTGAACTGTTTTAAAATGTTGCCTTGTAAGTTATAAATAGACTAAACCACTCACATAGTAATAGGAGCCAGCAGTAATCTTCATTCCTGCTGAAGATGACTTTCCATGATGGTGACTTTCCCACAAGCCACAGGACCTCGAGGTCCAGGGTCACGCAGATTTATAATCCCTGGCAGGGATTATTTCATATCATGTCCATTGAGAGGACAAGGAGAGAGGGATTCCCAGGTGACCAACCCACAGAAGAGTTCAGGAAAGCCTCTGGTTTCACTAGCTCTGGGGAGACGGGCCCACTCCCCACGGAGTCCCCAACATACAGGCTTCCCCTCAATCTCAAGGAGGCTCATTTTGGAGACAACCTGGGTCCTAAGGGTTTGGCTGCAAAAGGTCTGAGAGGGGTTCATGCTCCAGCTCAGAAAGTCCCACCCACTTGCCAGGTAAATGTGCTGCTTGGAGAAAGTTGAGGCTGCTATTGGGGTGGACTTCCCAGCAACCTGTGCACCAAACTTGTGTCTACTCACTGAACGGGACTTTAGCATCATCACCAGTGGCTTAATGGCAGTCCCATATGATAACAATTTGTCATCACTTTTGAACCCTAAAAATAGGCTATACTCTTTGTACTACACAGACTTAGATCCAACTATTTGATTTTGTTCCCAATTATTTTAAAATTTAAAAAAAACTGAAAATATTTGTTTCCACTACTGTAGCACTTGTCAAAACACCCTCCAAGTATTTTTATCAGTGATTCTCATCAGACATTGGTATAAAGCTTTTAATAGGTACCCAAATAGTTACCTCGTTTGGTTCACCCAGGAGTCCCTTGGAGTTGACAACCAAGTCCCTTCCACTTGAGAACCAAGGAAACCAAGATCCAGGGAGGCATGAGACTTGCTCAGCCAGTAAACAGTGAAGGAGCCAGACCTCCCACGCTTGTGTTCTGAACATGCTTAAAACAGGACCAAACAGAGGACTAAACCTCGGCATTTTCCAGGCTGAAATACCGAGGAACACAAACCATTAAACCTATCTGATGAGGCCTGCTATTGATTTTTGTATTTAAAAGAGAAGATGCAGACTGTAAGTAGTTTTCTGTTATCTACATTTTGCAAAAGGGAAGAGAAAGAGAAAAAGAAAGATTATGAGGGTGATGTACAGACATAAGAGCAATTTTCTCTCCGCAGGTGACAGGCAGGCACAAGCACAGATTGCCTGCACAAATGCCACCCACTTTGTGGAGCAGCGATATTCCATCAACATGGTGTGTCAGCCAGGATTTAGCAAACCAGGTTATGTTTTAAAGAACCAGAGGCAGTAAGGGCCTACTATGGAAAATGTATGCAAAATGAAGGATCCGTCCCTAATTTTTCTTTTATGCAAAAGTACCCTGTTCCAACAATTCTAAAGTGCACTCTTTATTTACTCATCTTAACCTCTCTTAAATCAGCATGCATCTCTGTAAGCAAGCTGCTGCTGATATGCCATACTATAACTGCCCACCAGGGGACAGTCATGATGAAGTAATGTGAAATCTCCCAGTGACACCTAGGGTTAGAATAAAAAATCCTCAACCTCAAAAGCACTTGAGATTTGATGAAATACATAATGGCTTGCTTGAAGCAAGATACAATACAAGAGTTTATTTTAAATGGGGATCAGATAATAATATTAGAACCTAGGTTATATTTTAATCCTAGATTTAGAATTTGCCGGTAGTGAACCCATAAAACCCTAGACACCCCAACCTCAACCTCAATAAAGACAGAGCCCTAGGTCCCCAGAGACTCCCAGGGCTCTCTCTCTCTCTCTCTCTCTCTCTCTCTCTCTCTCCCCCAACCCCCTCACTCTGCCGGTAGTGAACCCATAAAACCCTAGACACCCCAACCTCAACCTCAATAAAGACAGAGCCCTAGGTCCCCAGAGACTCCCAGGGCTCTCTCTCTCTCTCTCTCTCTCTCTCTCTCCCCCAACCCCCTCACTCTCCTCATGGCCTGGATTTGTTTACTTGTGGGTAACAAACCTTGTTTTATCAAAGTTCCCTGGTGGTTATTGCAATCATAAGAACTGCAAGAGTAGATCCAGACAGCACGTTGATTGGGGAAATATCTGTGGGGGCTCCACAAGCAGTACCACCCCACTTGGGTGCTCCCCAGCATTCCTACCTGATAGCATCACTGTGCTAGGCTGAGAGCAGACACAAAACAACTGTGTTAACTGAAATGGCTCACACCATTCTTTTGTGACCTTTTATAGTTTGCGGCACACATGGACTATTGCAAGTACACGCTTTGCACTAGGCAGATAATTATTTCCTTCTTCTCCACTCCAGCCTTCTGCCCATCTGTCCTCACTGCATATTTTATAAGCACGTAAGTCAGTATGATAAAAATGTCCCTTAAAAGGCAGCCAATCTTCAAAGAAGCTAATAATACATGACCTATTTCATGAAAAGAAAAAAGAAGGTGGTTCAAAAGCAACTAAAATGTCAACCTGGTTTGAAAGAAGTCAATTAGCAACACAGATATAACGATGCTATGCTGGCGATAAGCTTGGTTAACAAAACAATGAGGCCTATTAGAAAAATTTTAATAAAGCATTCTGGTGTTGAAAGCTTATTTTTGATGAGCTGGAAAAGCAAAGAAAACTAATCCTGAACCATTTTCCAGTTCAGAATGATTTTGTTTATCCTTCTTTGCTAGAGTTGGAGCCAACAATTCTGAAGGTTTGGATTAGCTCTTAATATTTCTAGCCCCTTGAGTATTCAAATCAATGGTACATTTCTGGGAACAGCTCTCTCACCACAGGCAGCAGGCTGAGGAACGAAGCTTCCCCACCATATGGAAGCCAAGAGCCTTCTCTCCTTTCACCGCCTTGACCAGTGGCCTTTAGTCAGAAGCTGGCAAAGGGGAGTCAATGATCCCAAGGCATCAACACAGCAAGGCCACACATCTAGGCCCCAGTTTCTCCAAGTGTAAAATAAGGCTATTGGACCAGATTAAGATCTCAAAACTTGTCCCAAGGAGAGTCCGCTGAGGGGCACAGCAGCTCAGTGTGGAGTTATGGAAAGAGAAGTGTTGGGGCCTATGCTGAAGAAGGAGGAGGAAGAAAGGAAAGTAGAACAGCTCTCAGAGGTGAGCTATCCTGGATCGGGAAGTGGATGCAGTGAGGTTGCCAGGAGGAGAGAGGACAGCGTCCTCTGGGGTAGGCTCCTCCAACCCAAATACTTCATGAACCCCTTCATATTCTCTGAAAATTGCTGCAGGCCTCCTCAGCATGTTACTATCACTTTAACTTTTATTATAACGTTATTTCAATATGTAAAGCATAAAAACAATGGATAAACTGTACTTTTTAGAGTACAGTATAAATGCAGAACAAAATTACAATCAAATACCATAAAGACAATAAAGTTCAAATTTATGATATTAATTTAATGTAGTGGATAAGTGGATGGTATTATCTTTCAGAAACTAAATGGCCAATTTGAGGTTAATGGTAGACAACTTTAGCTCAGGTCTGGTCATATATTTAGTCTGTTTCTACATTGTAAGTTTATAAATATATCTTCTGAGAACATCTGTTTGCATATGAAACAGGAGTGTCAGTACATTCCAGCCTTGGTTTGTAGCTCAGGAGAAGCAAGCCTTTCACTTAACCAACACGCTGTACGCAAGCAAAGCAGGTGTCACTTGATAACTAGTATCCCTCTTGTATTTGAATAGAGATATACTAATCTACATTCAGCGGGCAACTAATCTAATTATTGTTCACTCAGAATAGAGCCATTCCTCAACGCATACTTACTACTAAAATTATTGTGAATGGAATGGTTGAAAGTTGATATTTTTGATGACTGCGACTGTACGTAGTGCACATCTACTGGAAATGTGTACATGGTTAAGGGGCAAGTTCCTTTTCAGTCTGACATGCCTGTATTTTGGGTGCCCTGAGATGACTCAGTTCTCCCACCACATTCCCGTGTTCAACCTCCTGCAAAATCTCTCAGTGATAGAGTACACCATGAAGTCACCTGAATCTCATAAACACGCATCAAAGGATAAACATGAGGATTCTGACGATACATATACCACTACTCAATTATGGTCATCCAGATGACTCAGAATGTTCTAAGACTGAGTGTTATAGGCTATCATCACAATGAAAACCAAAATTTGGATCATATATATATATATATATAAATTTTCACTCTTTAAAAAAATAAAATGTCTGGCCAGTCACCCCCAAATAGCATGGGACAGACAGGGGTCTCTCCTGTCCCTTCCAGTTCTTCTGTCCATGCCACTCCTGAGCCAGTGAGGATGGTAGTCAATGGTCAGTGGGGCTGAGAGGATCCTAAGAGGACTCTGGAGCCCATTTATTGCTCTCTGCTGCCCTCTTCAGTGCAGAAATTGGCATCCAGTCAGGTCTCACAGCAAGTGGGGAAATGCTATAGTGCAGGCCCAAGGCTTCTGGGCGCCTCAGCTCACCATTCCAGCCCCAAGCCCCTCCTCAGAATCCCAACGCCCCGGGCGGGCGCTGAGCCACTGCACACCCTCAGGCCCCCAGGCCTGGGGAAGCCCCTGTTTATCTTGCATCTGCACAATTCCTTCTCCCTCCCTCTTGCTGTGATGGCTTAGTTAAGAAGGATTTTAGGGCCCAGAGAGCCCATGAAGTTTCCTCATGCAGTGGCATGGTTTCCAATTACACACGCACCACTGAGGTAATAAAGACAAGTTTTGTTGTTCTAATTCCATTTTAATATCAGGTCTATTTTAATGTCCAATTCTATTTCAACCATTAGTGATTGCATTAGCCTTTTGAACACCTTTAAGGGCTGTCATATGAAATAAACAATGACTCCCTAAAATAGCTTCTTTTCTTGTTTTCTGATCATAGCCTCACTATCCTTATTATCCTTTAGACTAGAGAAGTGATGTTCAAATGAACCACACAGGGTGCACAGGAGGATCCGGGGCCTCAGGGTAGAAAATAGAGAACCTTTTTTAATATATATATAGTATATTTAACTTCATTCTTCTTAAATTTCAATTTTGGACAATGTACAATATACCTAATATATTTATTAGTGGGCTAGTACATGCATATATTTATAAATAAATAATCATATATTTGGGGGGAATGCTTATTTTTATTTCATTTATGTATTTTGTTACTGAAGGGATATACAATGATAAAATCTTAAGACCTTTTTTCTAGAAG